GAGAGAGAGAGAGAGAGAGAGAGAGAGAGAGAGAGAGAAGGCTTTCCTCATTCAATTTATACTAGTGAGTCTTCAAATAGATCACCAGGAGAAATTTCAATTCATAGAAAATTTTTTTTGACAAATAATGACAAGCCAGGGGGTTACGCACACCTATAATCTCAGTTACTCATGAGGTTGAGGCAGGAAGATTATGAATGTGAGGCAAGCCTTGGTTACCTGGTGAGTCCTAGACTAGGCTATCTTGAGCTATGAAATAGGACTCATTCTCAAAGAGGGGGAGGGGTATTTGGAGGGAGCTGAAGAGACATGGTTAACAGCACATGTTCTTGCAGAAGCCCCACGCTTGGTTCCCAGCACCCATGTTAAGTGGTGCACAACCACTCGTGACTTAGTTCCAGAGGGCTGTGATAGCTCTGGCCTTCATGGGCACCTGCAGCCATGTGCGCAGACACACACACACACACACACACACACACATAAACCTCCATGGGCACCTGCAGCCATGTGCGCAGACACACACACACACACACACACACACACACACACACACACACACACTAATAAAACCTCCATGGGCACCTGCAGCCATGTGCATACACACACACACACACACACACACACTACTAAAACCTCCATGGGCACCTGCACCCATGTGTGCAGACACACACACACACACACACACACACACACACACACACACACACACTACTAAAACCTCCATGGGCACCTGCACTCATGTGCGCAGACACAGACAATAATAAAAGTCTTTTTTAAAAGGAACCCACAGAATTAAAATATTACTGTTTCCCAACCATTCAAGGGCTGGTCATTAAACTCCAAAGACCATAACAACACACATGTACACATACTCATTTTGAGGAAGGAGAGACTAACACCTATGATATAGCCGAATCACAAAAACCTGCACCTTAAGTCTTCGTCTGGCTACAAATGTATATGAAATGCAGAAGAATCACATTGTAATCTCCACTGGGGAAAAGCAAGGACGGAAGCCTTGACTAAGGGAACTCTTTAGGAAGTCTCAAGGTGAGGAGAAGAGGTATGGGAAGCTACAGTTTAAAATGGGCTTAAAAGACATTAAAAAACAGTGAGACTGTAGTGTTGAAGGATGCCAATTTGATAATAAAACTACAAAGAGATAAACGGCTGCCATACAAGTCAGGACAGTTTTTTGTTTTTTTCTAAAGGTGCTAGCTGTAGAGGGACGGGAGGATTGTACGGGGTACGTATCTGTAAAGATCCAGGAGCGCTGTCAAGGGTCCAGCACCTCACACTGAAGGTGAATAAAAAAATGAATCACAGCAGAACAGGACACAGCACAGAAGGCCACTCTATTCGACGTTAGACCCACCACCGTGCTGTGGCCTCGAGAGAATGACAACATACACTTTCCAAACCAAGCTAGAGGGAAGTGGAACCAAAAACCAAGAAGTGAACCTGCACAGTGGAGAAAATAAACTTGAGCTACCGGGGCCACAGGACGGGGCTCGAGAGAAGACCACAGCTGCTTTCGTCTTTATGGGCACAGCTCTGCGGCTGGAGTCAAGTTTGCCGATGATGAACTCTGGGAAGCGGGCAGGCGCTAGCCTTCGGTACTCTTAAAGCAAAATCCACTCTCTCCTGACAACGCACCATTAGCTGAAAAAGTAGATAAGTAGAAAAGAGTCGGAAAAGGGGGACTGGAGAGACGGCATACGGCGTCTCAGCGCCAGCGGCCTGCACTGGAGGCCTGTCTCCTAGTGTCCTCAGCCACACCTCAAATTCTACCTGGTTATGTCATAAGCCCATCTAAGGGAATACCTTCCAGGCAGCCTGTAGGAACGTAGAGGTGACAGAGTCCCGGCCAGTCCACACAGAACCAGTCCCCACAGGTGGGGAACATCTGCATCTGACCCTATAGGTTCAGCCCCACCGTGACAATCCCACTAGGCAACGCTTTTTCCGTGTCCTTACAATGCTCCTGAATACTTACTGGAAAGAAACAGAGACTTAAAAAGAACCATACATGGATGTGTATAGTGACTTTATTTAGTATAGTCAACCCTGGAAACCATCCAAATGCAGAGAAGAAATAAACCACTGTGATATTTTTACAATGCAACAGTAGTCATTGATAAAAAGGAAGGAGCAACAGACAGGTAAGGCACGGGTGGATTTCACAGACAGTGCTGAGCAGGAGATGCCACACACAAAAATGTGCACACTTTTGGTTTCGTATTTGTGAATTTTTCAATAATGGGCAAAACTCATTTGCTGGAAGTCAGAGCGTTGGTGCTCTGTGAGATGGGACAGGAGTTAACTGAGGACGGGGGCACTCTTGGGGCTGAGAGGAAAGGTTCTGTATCTTGATAGGGGCAGGCTTTCCTGGATGTAAACATCTGGTAAATGTTAAAGTAGAAACTGGTGAGGCGGCTGGTCAGGGCTTGCTGTGCAAGTGAGTGACCTGCATTCAATCCATGAAACCATATCAAGGAGCAAGAGAACGGACCACCCAGAGTTGACCTTTGACCTCCTCTTGTACCCCCCCCCAATCCCCACACCAATAATAACAAATAAGATGTAAAAACGACACAAATGGGCGGTGCTGAAATGTATTCCTCAGTCAAATGTCTATGCTACACACAGAAGACAGACGGCAACTGTTTCGGTGGACTGGTGGACTACAAAGGTGGGTACATTTACAAGCTGCAGGATAACAAATACAATTATGATTAAAATTTAGTTCTCAACCAGTGGGTCTCGACCCCTGGGGGTTCGAACAACTCACAGGGGTCACCTAAGACCATTGGAAAACACAGATCATTACATTGTGATCCATAACAGTAGCAAAATTACAGTTATAAAAATAATCTTATGGTTGGGGACGGTTTACCACAACATGAGGAACTGTATTAAAGGGTCGCAGCGTTAGGAAGGTCGAGAACCCCTGATTCAATCAAGAATCAAATCTCAGGAGCAGGATTTTCCAGAGAGACCAGGAGAAACCTTGACCTTGAATAGGAAATTATCGTGAAACACTTAAGAAGGCTTCCCAGAATGGCAATAAGGTGTCTGTGGGATTCAAAGGTAATTTTTTTTTTGTTTTTTTTTTTTTTTGTTTTTTTCAGGACAGGGTTTCTCTGTGTAGCTTTGCGCCTTTCCTGGAACTCACTTGGTAGCCCAGGCTGGCCTCGAACTCACAAAGATCCGCCTGCCTCTGCCTCCCGAGTGCTGGGATTAAAGGCGTGCGCCACCACCGCCCGGCCCAGTTTGGCCTTTAATTC